AATTGATAAGCCAGAATCCCGGCAGCCTCTTATCTTCATGAACACGTCTACGTAGATGAAAAAGCTCTGATGCCATTAATATCTGGATAACAATTACCATGGCACAGATATATAGATGCCCCAAGTACAGAATGAGTATAACACCTCCAAGCATCCATAAAGATGAATACGTGCGGATCCACATGGATCTGTATTTATTCTGGTCGTTCATAAGCAAGTGCTCCCCATTTAATCTGCTTCCATTAGGAAACACCTGGCGCCAAAAAAAACCCGAGCAACATTTTTCCGAGAATTAAAAACCAAATGCAGCATCTTTCGCACTTCCTAAAACCTTATTCTTTTTCGCATTCTATATATGATAAAAAAAACACGAAAAAGAAAAAAAAAATTGTGTATTAGAGAGACCTCAAGTGACTTGGAACGCCTGCGCTGCCGGATTCGAGGAGATGATGGCAAGGATTCTTTGTTCATTGCTATTGGAATTCACCCTTTCTCCTAACAAGGATTGATAATAATGAATCAGAATCATGTGAACAGACAATGCAGCAGTTTGTAACGAGAAATTAAAAGATGGTTAAGATCAATCATACACGTGTTGTTAGATGTCTTGGTCCAACAGATCACTTGACAAAGTCATGCTCTCTCCTCTGATTGAGCCGATTGAGTCAGGGCTGCATCCGTTTAGGTACTTAATTGAAATTTTGTCTCCTAATTAGTAGCCATCAGCTTGGTGTGTAGATATATATATGTACGACGTCCTATTTTTGGAAAATTTTGTAAAGAAAATCTTCTGTTCTTTTAAGGTACCAATGCCATGCACGTATACAGAAAGTGTCGACTGAATTATTACTAACTAGTATGTGGCCCGTGCGATGCACGGGTAAATAATATTAAATAATAATTATAAATTGACGATATAGGTATATAATATATATACGTTTAGAATTTTGAGTGCCACTTTGAGATTTTTTAAGATTTGAGATTTTTAAGAAGATCAAATTTAGAGGAATACTATGAAATCTTAAGTGTGAGCGTAAGATTTAGAGTGAAATGTTGTATAATATTTTTTTCTTTTAAATCATAACTAATCTTAAAAAGACCTAACAAATCTTGATCTCAAATAAGTTAAATATTTAAGGTTATTTTAAGATTTTTTTGATTTTTATATATCATAGATGAACCACTTTTGTTACCAAAAAATGTGGACACAATTTTGAATGTATATCCCGTCCAAATATCAATTTTATTCTAAAATAAAAATTGCACGTGGTTTTATCCAATTTACACACTTTTTTTTGAAAGAAAAAATTATTCAATAAGATTGGAAGAATTGTTAAGAATTATACAACTATTTGTTTTCAAAATTTGTATCTAATTTGTACGGTTTTTAAGTTAGTTTGTATTTAGAATTGTTTTCATAAATATTTGACACATTTTTTGCATAAGAATCTCCAAATTTGTTACCAAAAAATATATGATTTAAATTTTGGTAAAAATAAAATAAAATATGATACGAAAAAAATGGAATTCAAATTTTGTCATAAGAATCTCCAAATTAGTTACCAAAAAAATAGGATTCAGATTTTGTTACTAAAGATTCACATATATTTTTTTGAACTTTCCATTAATAGTAAGTCAAACATTATATTTATTTGGTCAAACTTTCTATTAATGTATTTTTCCAACAACCTCTTTATATAGATATAGATATAGACTAGGCATTAAATAAAATTTAAATACATTAATATGATTTTTATTTAATATATATATATATCGAAAAAGGTTGATGGTAAAATCATTTGAAGAAAGTTNCTATATATAAAAAACCCTAAATGGGATGAAGGGTCACAAATCTACTAGTCCAATGTCTGATATATATCTAGTCAAATGAAACACAAAAACAAAAACAAGAAAAAGCTGACAACAGCAATCAGTAACACAAAGATAACAGCTCCTGGTCCGGGAAGAGTCCAAGTGAAAAGTCAGCGTCACGGTAGAGCAGATGCACCAAAAGGTAGAACCGGCTACACAAATCTAAATGAAGGGTATTCATTTGGTCCATCCGTCTAAGGGTACGGAGGCGAAGAGGAATAAAGTATGTGCCTCTTGGGGTGGAGGACCCGATGCAAGCAAGGAAGTCAACATGTCAGTTCCCCTAGCGGATGATGTGCGAGTCTGAAAGCGAATCGACCGAAGTGTGGCTCTAATACACATGAGAGGATGTTGAATCTGCCACGTGCCCTAATGGCCAGAAGTCAAGAGAGTGGTGACAGCGGCAGCGTCCAACTTTATCCAAATGTGAGAGGAGATCGAGACAACAATCTGATGACCAGTTTAAATTTAAAAAATTTGTTCAATGTTCGAATCAATTTTACCATTTTTTTATTATTATATATGAAATCAACTACCTTCCATATTTTATATGTATTTTTTTTATACCAATTTTAAGAAGAGCAGTGTCCAACATTTGCAATGATTCGGTTTTATATCATAACGACAATTTTGTTAATCTGATCAGAGGACTGCATTTTTTTTTACATTATACCAAATTTATTTTTAAAAAACGCGTGAATTAAAAACCTAATCATATTGATAATTGTGTAAATCAAATCAAAATATTGCCCTTTTTTTATTGATATCATATCAAAAATATTTTTAAAAAATTGTGAAAATAAAATTTGTTGATATAAAAATTGTTTGTTTGAAATCATGTTAAAAATTCCTGAAGCTCTAAGGTATATCAATAAATAAGGCATGTAAATAATATTGTTTTCATATCAATCCATTTTATTTGAATTCTTATAGATAAATCCAAATTAAAATTAAAACATTTGAACGGAAATGTATTTCATAAAAAAAAATCATTTCAACTAATCCTCACGATTTGGACGGGTATAATTAATTAAAGGGCGTTACTATTCACCGCCCCCCATTTTACTAGTCACCGCCCCCTTGGACAATTTTGCCCTTCTCATTTTTTCTAAACATCTCAGAGGAAAGTGTACGGTGAAATGTCGTCAAATTCGGAGGTACGAAAAAATACGTGTCCAGCCGCCGGTTCCGGACAGCTTATAGCCCGTCCGGACCGGCCGGCCGGACGGCTTAAAGACCGTCCGGAACCGGCGGCCGGACGGCTTAAAGACCGTCCGGAAAGCATGGCCGGTCGGACCGGCCGTGTCCGAACCGGCCGGCCGGACGGTAAGAGAGCCGTCCGGAAACGACGGCCGGTCGGAACTGGTTCGTCCGGTTCGGCCGGCCGGTCGGCCGATTTTTTTTTTTTTTATAAATTATTATGTTATTTATTCGAAATAATTATGTTATAAATTGGACTATATTATTATGTTATAAATTATTATGTTACTTTTTAGACTTGATTATGATATAAATTGGACGTTTATCGTGTTAGGAGTTACAAATTATTATGTTACATGTTGATTATAATATAAATTGGACGTTTAGATATTATCGTGTTACGAGTTAGAAATTATTACATTATATATTAGTTTTAGTTATGTTATAAATTGACGTTAGATAGTATCGTGTTAAGAGTTACAAGTTATTGTGTTACATGTTTATTATAATATAAATTGGACGTTAGATATTATCGTGATCGTGTTAGGAGTTACAAATTATATTAATTGAACGTTAGATAATATCATGTTACGAGTTACAAATTATTATGTTACATCGTAGAATTAATTATCTTAATTTAACATGTTCTAAAAATAAAAATATTGTACTATATAGCAGGAGTCATGGGAAGATTTTGGAGGAGATGGTGTTGATTA